CTCCCCTCCCCCACCTCTCTGCCCCCCATTCGAATAGAGCTTGGCCACCCTAGGGAATCGGCCCCAGGGCTCCTGCCAGCAGCACTAGCCCCCGGGGACCCAGGAGCCTACCGCCTATTAGCCCCCCTGGCACAAACGCCACAAGCCCTGCTCTGCCTCCCCCCCCCCCCCCAGGAGTCTGACTCTGCCTGTTGGGCCTCTAGGGCCCCATTTCTGCCTTTGATTGCTCTGAGAGCCAGGAGTGGAACCCCGGAGTCCTGAGTCCCAGTCCACAGCACTGACTCCCCTGGCTCGCCTCTCGGGGCAACCCCACCCAGGCACCCCGCGCGATCCCGCCGAGCAGCGTGCACTGCTGCGTTCGAAACCACGGGCACACGCAGCCCTGCGTGTTGTAATCCTGCCACCTTTTCACAAGAGAAAAAGGATAGGCCCCCGGTTAAGTGGTGCTGTAGCTTTTGGGAGGGGGAAGGCTTGTGCTCTCATTGAAGTCGAGGACAAAATTCCTTTAGCGTTCAAAGGGGGCAGGATCAGGCCCTTGAAGACAAACAGTGGGCAATCCCGCAGCCACCTGTAGTAATGCTTTCGCTGGATATAAGATCTGGCATCGGTCGAGCTTTAACTGGTTTTCATTGCAAATGCAAACCTCAGCCAAGCTAGTAAAAAAAAGAGAAAAAACTCTAGGCCGGGTGGCATCCTATCAGACAGCCAATTTCCCTCTCTTTTTAAAATCTTCATTTAGTGCAAGGACCAGCACAACATGGTACTGACCTACAAGAAAGAAGGGATTGTATTTGCATATTCCCCCCCCCCCCCAATCCACCCCACTGCTGCTCAAAGATGGGATATTTTGGAGAACTCTGTGAGCTGCGGTTTGTGGGTCCAGGAAAAATAATTGAAAATCAGGACAGTCTTGATTTTCATAGAGATGGGTGATAATATTAACTGTTACATATCCTGTCAGATCCTGTTAGTCTCCGGCTAGGTAAGACGGTGTGGCTATGGAAGACCTGAAGTAAAGGACTAACCAGATCCCAAGTAACTAAAGTGAATAAAAACAAGGGCTATTAAATTATACTTTACTGATAGATTTTAACCTCTTTCTTACTGCACAGCTAAAGCACCAGTGCTGGTCAATGCACCAGTTATGTCCTCTCTGGATAGGTCTAATGAAATATCATCACTTAAAGAAATGCTACTGCTGTTGAATAGACACTGTGTCAGTGTTGCACAGTGAAAGGGATACAGAGATATGAGGAAAAGCTTCCCTGCCCTGCGATCTGTTTGACTGTGTGTGGAATAGTCTCTCTAAAGTGGAGTGGTGAAAGCCCTCATCATTTGGGCGAAACAGAGCACAGGAGACAATACAGGGCTGGTGGGTGGGAGGGGACCCTGAGATTTTTACTCTGTTCGTACCTAGTGAAATGGATGAGTTTGGCCTGAGTATGAATTGAAAGCCCCAGTCTTGTGATGAGCTCTGCGTGGGCTCAGGGATCCACCTGCATGGAGCTTGTTGCAGGATCGGGGTCTGAGCTCAGGATTTGGCCATTTTATGTAGCAGTATATACACAGAATATGTTGACTGCCCTTTAGTGATACAGTAGTTCTAAATATAGTGCTGCTAAGTACAGGAAATCACACTACTGAGAGGAGGGGAATTCTTCCCTGCCCTGGGGTTACAAAGCAATCATAACATCCCCTTTGGGAATACCTGGCCTAGGTCCCTGCCCTTGGGGAGTTGCCAGCAGGGCAGGCGTGCACGAGAAAAAAAACTTTGGAGGTAGTTAATTAGGCATGTAGTTATGTAGCTGGAAGTGATGGGGTTGCTTAGGTATAAGTGAGGGCAGAATATTGTCTTCATATATTGTGCTGTAGGTAGCAATTGTAATTCCCTCCATTCATGTTCAATTTGTTTCTGTGGTAAATTGAGACACTGGCAATTGACCTTTACCACATCACAACTGTTGTTAGCAAATCTGCCAGGGTCTGACTCTGAGTATGAAATGAATATAGCGTTGAATGAAGCCAGCAGCTAAATTTGTGTCTTCAGACTGATAAACATCTTAGGTATTAGACTGTAGAGGCACTTGGTGACTGCCTCGTTGTGCTGCTGACCTGTGCTGAAGACGTCCCATGGTCTGTAACGTTCCATGTTAATGTCTTATAGCTTGTAGGGTAGAACATTTAATGGGCTTGAGATATTCATTCGGCAGATTAAACGAGCACATTTGAAACTGGCTTGAAATCAACAATCAGTTCCACTTTGGGCTGGAGAATAAGTTTAGGGGAAAGGGAAATCTGGTACTGGAATTACTGAATAAACAAGAGGGAGTTGTAGTGAGTGTAAATTTACTCCTTTGCTGCTGGGCTGATTCCCTTAACCTCGACTTTCTGCTGCTATTGTAGGAATTTGTCCAATTTTCTCCAAGGTGGTAGTGGTTGCTATGCCCAGGTTGAGTTCATGATTGTGACTTTTCTAGTTAATTCTCATAATTATATTTGGCCTGTATATGTGGCATGTTCTTATTATGGTTTCCTTTGTCCACCCTCCCCCATTTCTTCCAGTTGTTAGTTACCTCCATTGGTTGTGACTTGTCTGGATGAGAATGTATGGCTATCAAGGCAGGGCCTAGCTTTCACTCTGGGTTTGCGCAGCACTGAACACAATGCTGTACAAACCCTGACTGGGCCCTCTACGTGTGGCCGTGACACATATTAAGAATAATAATGAACGCCAAAGTGGGGCAAATCTGGAAAACATTGCGCTTCTCTTAGCAGAAAGAAGGACAATTATAGTCAAGATGTTTTATTTAGCAAATCCTCGTCAGCAGTTTTCACAGAGACTCGAATGCTTTGACGCAAAGGATGGGGACTACATTTATAAACTTAAATAAAATCTGTCCCTTTAGGGAGATCTTTCGCTCTGTTACTGGAAATGGAGGAAAAAATTATTTGTGAATTTCCTCTGTCAGGTCTGAGAAGACTTTGAGATTATGCATCCATCGGCGAGATACATAATGACCTTCATAATTCATATAATTCCTTTTTTATTTCTAAACATCTTATAGCAGATGGGCCTGATGTAACAAGCTGCTCTCCTGAAATCTGTAATATACATAGAGCCGATCTAACTGAAGTCCAAGGATTCCTTCCCATTGTCTTCAATCAGCATTGCCTCAGGCCCATAGCCTTCTGGGTTTGAAGGTAAAACTGAATCCTTTTTGTTTCTTGCCTTCCCTCAGTCCCATCGCAAGTTTTCAGCTCCCAGGCATGGCCACCTGGGCTTCCTCCCTCATAAGAGAAGCCGGCGTCACCGCGGGAAGGTGAAGACCTGGCCCAAGGATGATCCCAGCAAGCCAGTCCACCTGACAGCCTTTCTGGGCTACAAAGCTGGCATGACGCACATCCTACGAGAAGTTCACAGGCCAGGACTGAGTAAGAGGCTTTGATTGAATCAGCTAGTTTGAGTCCAGGGAAGGATAGAGGGAAAAGTCTCTTATGGCCGGCTGGGATGGATAGCTCATGGGGATTGGGAATGGGTTATGGAGCTCTAGCTTAGCCTGGATTTGAAATGGCAGTTCACCAATGACCAAAAATCATCTGGCAGCTGTTTAGACGTTCTCAGTGCAATTCCTACCTTACATCATAAGGTCACCAGCACAGCTGGTATTAGTTAGCTCCCTGTTGGCAGAGAAGCCAAGCAGTGAATAGCCCATGGAGGGATAACTTCCCTCATACTCTGCATGGGGTCCCAGGGTTTAGGTGGGGACGTTGTGTACTGTTGCTTTCTGAGCAGTAGACAAAGGTAGGTCTCCAGTTCTGTGCAACTGGCATCCCCATCTGCTCTAAGTTAATTGGCCTTTATAAAAGGCGGAGACACCAATAGACAGTTGCCCTCTGCTGGGACACGATGTAGTTGAAGGTGCATTGGGCACCAGGAACTTGGGTATCTAATTAAGAGAATTACTGGCCACCCACGGCTCCCCTGAAAGAACCTGGTCCTGTGAGAACTGAGCACAGTCAGCTCCCATTGACTTCACTGCTACACCCTTTGATTTCAGAGCTTTCCAAGAGGGAAGAGGTGGAAGCAGTAACAATAGTGGAGACCCCACCCCTGGTAGTGGTTGGGCTTGTGGGATACATAGACACTCCCAGGGGCCTGAGAAATTTCAGGACCATTTTTGCTGAGCACCTCAGCGATGAGTGCAGACGCCGCTTCTACAAGAACTGGTAAGAGTCTCTCGGCGCATGGGTTTCCTGGCAATTGTAACAGCGTCGCCTTTCCCCACCCCCACGTTAGCCACAAGAGGCTCTTCGTAATGTCTCCACATTGGAATCCTTCCCTCGGGGGTGAAATGCAGCAGCTGTTTAATTGCGCACAGCTGCACGACACGACCATTTGGGCTACTGTGAATAAGAACGCGTGCGCACAAATTTCTGGTTCATGTAATAATAGTACTGAGTTATTTGTCTCGGTGATGTGGCAGTGAGTTCCACAGGTCAATTATACATTGCGTAGCTGAGGCCAGCTTCTGCTCACCATTGTAATTGGTTCACCAAAGTAACTCTACTGACGTCAATAGAGTAATTCCAGTTTTACGGGGGTGCAAATTAAAGCAAAATCTAGCCCATGGCCCTTCGGCACCTTTGTAGAGATTGACTCCCCAAATCTTGGAGCGGCAGTGGGGAAAGTGATCGCTTGAGTCCTTGTAATTGAGTAAACTTATGGCTGTGTAGCCATGCCTTCTATCTGACCCCTAAAATGTCCCTGATCCTCAGTAGAGAGACTGTTTTGTCTCATTTCCATTTAGCTCTATTTTTGCTGTTGTATTTTGACGTCACTAAGGGTACGTCTGTACTTACCTCCGGGTCCGGCGGTAAGCAATCGATCTTCTGGGATCGATTTATCGCGTCTTGTCTAGACACGATAAATCGATCCCGGATCGATCCCGGAAGTGCTTGCCGTCGACACCGGTACTCCTGCTCCGCGAGAGGAGTACGCGGAGTCGACGGGGGAGCCTGCCTGCCACGTCTGGACCCGCGGTAAGTTCGAACTAAGGTACTTCGACTTCAGCTACGTTATTAACGTAGCTGAAGTTGCGTATCTTAGTTCGAAGTGGGGGGTTAGTGTGGACCAGGCCTAATAAGTGAGCAAATCAGTGGGTGTCAACTGGATTCTCTATACAAAAAGCTGCCAGAATTGCAAGTGTTGTCGGTCCATTAATGTCCTTCCACCATTTCCTCCTCTGAGCTCCCTCTAATGGTCTTCTGTGTATTGCATTTGCTCACCTCAGCTTGGTGCAACGATGGATGCATGATGCTTCCAATAGCATGCCTTAATAATATATGGAGATATACCTATCTCATAGAGCTGGAAGGGACCTTGAAAGGTCATTGAGTCTAGCCCCCTGCCTTCACTAGCAGGACCAAGTACTGATTTTTTGCCCCAGATCCCTAAGTGGCCCCCTCAAGGCAGGCCAATGCTCAAACCACTGAGCTATCCCTCCCCCCCTTAAGCAACCTTGTCACACATGTTGTACTGTGTTTCTGAGATTCGGCGCTTCATTATTCCAGTCTCCAGCATAATTAAAAGGCTCCTGTCCTTAGGCACAAGAGCAAGAAGAAGGCCTTCACCAAGTACTGCAAAAAGTGGCAGGACAAGGACGGGAAGAAACAGCTAGAGAAGGATTTTGCAGCCATGAAGAAGTACTGCAAGGTCATTAGAGTCATCGTCCACACTCAGGTCAGAACTTCACACAGGGTGTGGGGCTTGATCCCAATAGCCTGTTGGAGTGGGGCGAGGGCTTGGAAGCCGAGAGCAACTAGCAGGTGGGAATCGGGGCACTTCTCATCACTGGGGGGGAATGGAGGGTCTTGTTGGCTGGGGCCTCTTGTCACTGGTGCGGGATTTGGAGTGGCAGGCGAGTTAGTGGGTGCTGGAGCTGCGGTATGTGCACGCTGCAGGAGGTGCATGCTGACGTTGCAGCCACTTATCAAAGAGCAACCTCGTCCATTTGAAAGTGCAAGGGGGAATCCAACGGGCACAATGGAAGTCTCTACACTGGGATTCGCCCAGGAGCCTGGCACTGACACCCCGGCTGCTGTGGAAGGGTTGGGCCTGGGGTTTTTCATCTCCTTGCTGCTGCTCGGGACCCTGGAGAAGCCACAGGGCTCGCAGTGGGCAGTGCCAGAGGCACTCACAAGTTCGTTGGGAGGAAGCAGGCATTGGTCCCAAGCCCCTCAGTGAACGGTGTAACGCTAGCAACTGGTGTCAGGTGATGGGGTAAAAATAACCTGTGATCCTGGCCGCAGGGAAGGGCTTGCCAGATGCCAGAGCTACTGGATACTCAGGGGCTATTTGAATTGGGATCCTCAGGGAGCTCTCAACTCCTCAGAGCCCAGGAGGATCTGGGCTGGCCCGAGGGCCCTTTGGGCTAGTTCGGGCTTGTCAGCTCGCCACGGCAGGTCTAAAGTTGTGTCTGGCCACACGACACGGATAGGCCCGGGCTGCCGCCATCACTACCCGCTGATTTTTGAAAAGTGGGATGCGACACCAGCGCTGGGAGGTGATGTGACGCCGCAGCGCTGCCGTCTAGCACTGTGTGAGGAGGGGATCTTCTTGGGGAGCCCAGGGCTGGTCACATGGCCATTTGTGGGATTGCATCGATCTGAGCTGCATGGGTGGGGCTGACAAGTGCTGCTGAGGCCGAGGAGAGGAGAACGCCGCCCACGGTGGGTGGAAATACAGGCCAAAAGCACAAAACGCTGCCGGACTAGCCCCCAGTCTGCTGCACGTGCGTCTCTGAACAGTCCCGTTGGAGACAGTGGGACTGCCCCTGCGAGTCAGGGCTGGAGGGTTTGTCCCTGTGGCCGTATCCATGCAGCTGCTGCACAGCTGGTGAGCTCCAGTGACACACACAGCTCAGCTCCTGTTAAAATCCATCCAGCTAGCCCCGGGCTCAGAGGGTTCTCTGCAGAGCCCAGTTTCCATGTCTGTGCCCAGCTCGCCCCGGAAGGGTGGGCGTCGCTCTGTTCCTAGCCACGCCATGCTTAGTCGGGGGTGCACATGGCATGTCTTAGTGTTTTGTTCTCTGGGATTCCAGTTAAGCGTGAAACAGCATCTCAGCTGGCAATAGTAGCAGAGTGGTCAGGAGGTGAACACGTGTTTCTGATGGTGGGTGGGGAAGGGGAAGGCCTGCTTCCTAGGAACTAGTAATAACTCATGCTACAGAAATGCAGCTTGTGTCAGTCACCACGTAGCCTGATGGCATGCTGGGTAAGTGTGTGTGTGTGTGCGTGCACCATGCCTGGTGTGCATGTGTTGGTGCGTTCAGTGAGAATGTGTGTGTTTGCACTTGGCGAGTGTGTGTGCATGTGTGCTTAGTGAAAGTGTGTGTGT